CTCACAGGCAGGATCCAACCCAGGAACTATTTGACTAACTACCATTTGACGCTCAGGCACGCCCCCCCCCCGGGCCGCGTCTCCTTGCCTCTTTGCCCAAAAAATACAAAATCCTCTACAATATTATTATTGTTATTATTATTATTATTATTATTATTCACCGCCATTATTGCGGGCGGCGGTGGCGAAGGAGGCCCTCTCTCTCTCTCTCTCTCTCGCCAGCGCCAAAAACGGCGCGACATGAAACGCATCTGGGTGGGGCCTTTTCGCAGCTCCCTCCCGAATAGGAAGGCTTCTGGAAGCCGCGCGGAAGGGGGAGTTGTTTTGCGTCACGGCGGTACGGTACGGTAATTAACTCCGTGTTACCTAAGTGGGGGGATGGAGCTATACGGTATAACGGGAAGATGCAAAGGAGAAGGCGGTGGACGGAGTATACGGAAGATGTTATGTACGACAGAACGACATTTTGAGAAGGAGAGTCGAGACCGCAGGTCGAATTGCCTACCAAGAGACAAAGGAAAATTAATAGCTAATCATAAAAAGTAGTTATGGAGTAAACGGAATGAAAAAAAAAAATCGTCGCGGGCCCTGTTCCCACCCCCCACTGTGCCTGCCCCTCTCCTGGGCCTTTTGACTGACTGAACCCTCACGGCTTGCGGCTTACGGTTTACGGCTTGCGGGTGGGTATGATATCATCGCAAGGTAGGTCCGCTGTGGAGCCCTGATACAGACTTCTATACGGAGTACTAATCTCTGGGAGAATAAATGCGAAACTATTGTCGAATTTAGGCGAGTGCAGGCGCAAACGAGAACATATTGCGGCTAGTTAAGACTAGCGGCCCATCTTCACGCCCTTCGAGATGCTGCGCCGGCCGAGTTCTCCGGGTGGCTACGGTCTACAAACCCAACTAACTAGGTAGCTAGCTAGCTAGTTAGCTCCGTTGTGTCAAACAACGGCGGGGAGGCAAAAAAAAGAGCAGTCCGTGGGCGTGACATGACAGCAAGGCAGCGGAGGAAGACGGGAATAATAATTCCAACTACTAACATAACTAGTTAGAAGTAGGTGGTTAACGCCAGCGGGAAAAGGGCGAATCGGACGAGAACAAGTCCGCGAGCGAAGGCTCTTGGGATGCACGCGCGAGCGCGCACCGCTTTTTTCCCAGCTGAGGGTCCCGCGGGTTTGGCGCCGCCCGCCAGCAAGGCTTTTTTTTTTTTTTTTTTTTCCATTTTTGTTCCTTTCGGACCTGGCAAACGTGCAGCGTCGGCTGCTCTTGAGTGGCTGGCTGAGCGGTAGCTCGCTGCTAGGCTGGAGGAATAGCTGCATAGCTGGAGCCTATATGGAGTAACTACTCCATAGCTAGGTATTATTCTGTTGGCAGCTTGGAGGAGAGTAGCTATACATAGTAACGTAGCAAAGGGCTCGATCCCAAGGATGCGAGGCTCACAGATGGTGCCATGTATTTAGTTATTTCAACTCCTCCACTTTGCCTGCCCCCCCCCCCCTTAGCACCACTCCCGGGTACTCGAGATCACCTAGGGCGAGAACACAGCCGAGAGACGACGACCGACGACCGTCGAGATGCACGCGGCCGCGGGCGCCGATGCGGGCTCTCGTTTCGTTTGCCGGGAGCCGGCTTGTCGGGTTCGTCGCGATACGGAGTACGCCGGTGCCATCGTATTAGGAGTATTTATTGTGATTTCCCTATTTATTAGAGGTATTTATTTCTCCGTACTCCGTATTCCATTCTGCCATCGGGGAAATATCGACGGGCGTGCAGCAGTTAGTCCGATCTCAAATTTCGTGTTTCCATTTGATTATTTATTTTTTCTGTGGCAATCGATTGCCACCCCTGGCCCTAGCCTATAGCTCCGGAATCCCCCAGTAGGGCTATAGAAGAAAATAAGTAGTAGTACCACACATCTCGAAACGATGCCGATAGGCATGGAACAATACGAGCGGCGGCGCGTTCTGCGTCACATCCCCAACGCCTCTTTTATTTTATTTTTTTGTTCTGGAAGGGCGTTTGTGGTCCGGCAACCCGGCAGCTCTGGTGCAGCGTCGTCTTTGTCTGCGCCGGAAGGGAGAGACCGAAGGCTATATTATTCGCTCACTGATCTTCACGCACACACACGGCCACGGCCTGGAAGATCCGTGGATTATTGATTTTTGCTTCTTCTTTGCTTTTTGGGCGCTTGATAGGCTCATTATTATTGCTTTTTAGGCTTGTTTGTTTGTCTGTCGCCTTCTGCCGGACTTTTTTTTTTTTTTTTTTTTTTTTTGGGATTTTTTCCGCCGACATACTTCCGTATGTACAAGGTACGGAGGACACGCATACACATATACGCGCATCGGCTGATCCCAGGGCGCCCGCGTCCTGACCGGATCGGCCAACGGCCTGGCAGTAAGTAGGTGGAGCCCGCGACGATGACGGGTGCTTCCACGCCTTTTTTGATTTTGAAAAACGGAAAAAGCCTGCCGGGGGGGGGGGGGGGGGACCCAGCACTCACCGCTGTCTTGGGCGGATGGATGACTCGTGCGAAATACGCATGTCTCATTTCTTCATTCTCTGCGTGCACCAAGACAAGAAAACGTATAGCGGGTGACGGGGAGGGTTGGTGAGGAAAGCAAGGAAATTTGGCTTGCTGATCTACTACTTGCCGCCCCTTTTGAAAGGAGATCTATCTCCCCGGCAAGGCCGCCCGCTCGCTCGCTCGTGGGCGTCTTTCTGTACTTTTAATTATTATTATTATTTGCCGTGGTTCTTGTTTTCGTTTGAGTTGTGCTGATCAGCGCGCGCGCATTATTCTGTAGCTAGCTAGGTAGTCACCATGCCAGTGCCAGCCACCACGGCGATCCGGCCCCGTCGGCGCACAGCAACTCGCAACCTCATTTGAGTCCGGAGTAGAGCCACGGCGAGGAGCCCGGCATTCCCCAGCGATGGGGCACGGAAGTATCCCAGGCGGCGCCCGCTGAAGGAAGCGAGATTGGGGGGGAACAGGCCACCCTTTCTTGTTTGATTAGTATTATTGTTGTTGTCTTGCCAGTGAGCGAGTCATCGTCGCCTGGCCTGCATGTGAAGCAGCAGCAATCACCTTATTCGCAGTAGATAATTTCAAATCAGCGAGCTTATGTGTCTTGGGGCCGAAGCGCACGCGCGCTGCTGCTGCTCGGGGGGAAGGGCGGCGATCACAGGGCAGTTGTTGCTGGTCGAGTCAGGCCTGAAACGGCGGGTGCTGGACACGGCCGTGTACGGCGAATCGTCGGCAGCCGTACACGGGTGCAGCAACGGGGTCGAGTGGGCGGTATGGTACGGTACGGTATGGTATGGTATATGGGTGGGAGGGGTCAGCGCCAAGGACGGCCAGAAGCCGCATGGAAGGCGGTGGAAGGAGCGTATCGGGCTTTGGGTTTGGGTGCGGCCGGGGGGTCCGTCACGGCCGTACACGCCTGTACGGGGCCAGCGTCGGAGCATCCAGCGGCAATCGGCGCGGACGACGGAGAAGAAGAGAATCAGGGCCCGATCTCGTTGGCGCCTAGATCGGAGCAGAGGACAGGCCGGGCAGCCACGGCCAGGGCCAGGGGAGGAGAGGACAGGGAGGGCAGGCCAGGCCGGGCGCTGTCGTCGCAGCTCGCCTGGTGTTTCAGCGCCCACGCAGGGCAGCGCAGCCAGCCAGCCAGGCAGGCCAGCAAGAGTGCTAAAACAAGCGGCCTCGCCACCTGCGCGCTGTGTGGCCCGGCTTCTCTGGCTCAAGAGAACTAACTAGCCTCTGTCTGCTCTTAGCCAGGCGCGCGCGCCGTGGCTCGCCGCGAATTCTATTCTCGCCCGCCAGCGCCCAGACCGCGCGCGGCGGGTACGCGAGCCGATCGCCTGAGCTTGGTCGCGCTGAACAGCCCAGAGTTGCAGAGAGCGCCGGCTGGTTTTGGTTGTTGTGTTGCCAGCGTGCGCCGTCGACGACCCTCATCCCCCCCGCCGGCGGGCTCCACCGCCGCCCAGGGATTGCCAGGTAGCGCTACCACGCCCACTGGTCACGGCCCACGCCTGCGCGCCGCCGCCCTACCTCGCCGCCCGTACCGGTACCTCGCGCGCCCTTCGCCCGCCCCGTCGGCGCTTCTTCTCTTCTCTTCTTCTTCTTCTTCTCTTCCTCTTCCTCTTTCTTCTCTTCCTCCTCCCTCAACTCCCTCCCTTGCCCACCCATACTCGCTATCAGCATTGTCTTGCATATTCTGTCCGCACTGTCTCTACCACAGAGCCACCCTTTCGCCTACCAATCCGCCTGCTCACACTGCCGACTCGCTTCTCCCAACCTGCTCTCGCTCTCCCGACCATATTCCCTCCCACGCTCGACCTCATCTGCCGACCCAACTCTTCACTACACCGATTGATTGCCCGCCGCTCGCCCGAGCCTCTCTCAGCAGCGCGGTCCACCAATTCGCTGCTCTCGTGCCCTGCACCCGGCGTTGAGATACCCTCCCCCCGTTGCTCGCCTGTCCCACCCGTCCAACGCCAGTTCGTTGAGACCACCGCTGCGAGGTTGAACACGGCTCCCTTCCTCCGCTTCCGCCGGCTGCCTGCCGCTCCCGCTGCTCGTCGGGCCTCGACTCTCGTGGGAGCACCCCGATTCCCGCCCCCCGTCCCCCCCAACACCACCGCAACCATAGCCCGGTTAAAGCGCCGGCCCTCGCCCGCGCAACGCTTACGACACACGCCGGCGTCCGTCGAGCTCGAACCCGTCGGCTGTGTCGCTCGTCGTGGACGCTTCGCCCGCCCGCCTCCCCGTCGTCGTCGTTGTCGTCGGCCGTGTCCGACACCACGGCGTCTCCCCTCTCCGTGTGTCGCCGCCCGACCCCGGCGGCGTGTGCTCTCCCAGCTGCTGCGACCGTGGAGTCGCCAGACGGGTTCGTCCGTGCCCACGGGCTTGTTGAAGGCAAGAAAAGAGTGTGGCGCGACATCCGGGCCCGCGCGAAGCACGGCGGCGCCGGCCGGGACTCCCTGAGGGGGATGATCTCAGGGAAATCTCGGCGATCCGTGGACTCTTCGTGGGATCAGACGCCTGAATCCTCCCCCCAGACCTCGTCCGACTCCGACTCGGACCGCGACGACTGCGGCAGCAGCATCATGGACGCCGGCCCGCCCTCGCGCCCGCTCAGCATCGCCGTGCCCGGCAGCCAGCCGCCGCGCCCGACGCTCGACGACGTGCTGGCCGACCGCTCCGCACCGCCCTACACGCTCAGCGCCTTCACCGCATATCTCTCGCAGAACCACTGCCTGGAGACGCTCGAGTTCACCAAGGACGCCGAGCGCTACCGCGCCTACTACCTCCGGCCCGAACGCGCTGACTCGTCCGATGCGCAGCACCTCCAGCGCCTGCGGGTGTACTGGCACCGCATCATCAACGCGTACATCGTACCCGGTGCCCCGCGCGAGATCAACCTGCCCAGCACCGTCCGCGACGGCCTATTGAGCCATTCGTCCGCCGCAAAGCCCCCGCCGCACCCAGACGTACTGCAGCCCGCTGTGCGCCGCATCCGCGACCTGATGGATGAGTCGATCTTCCTTCCTTTCCTCAACCGCTACTCCGCCTCGCAACCGCCCACCGCCCGCACCTCCGTCCACTACTCCGCGCCCAATTTCGCCCTCGAGAGCAGCAGCAGCAGCACCAGCGGCGGCGGCGGTCGCGGCGGCGCCCGCGTCGCCCGCCACACCTCCGTGCGCCGCCACGTCTCCCCCGAAACCGCCTTCGCCGTGCCGCGCTCCTCGGGCTGTCCACCGCCGCCGCATCCCACGTCGCACGCTGCGGCCGCGGCGGCCGCCTATCGTACCATCGCCCCGGGCTACGCCAGCGGGGACTCCGGCAGCCTGACGGATGACTCGTCCAGTTTACCCTCGAGCCCCGGCGCCGGCGAGCCCATGACGCCGCCCACCACACCGCCCGGCAGCGAGGTCAACAGCCCGCGCGCGCGCACCGACAAGGGCTGGAAGAAGATGGGCATGCGGCTGGGCTGGAAGAAATGAAGGAAAGGAAAAGAAACGGAGAAAAAAAAATAAAGTAAAATAAACCCATCTGGCACACAAAAAAGTAACGCACGGAAAAGCAATAAACACAAAAAAGTTGATGCTGGACCACATTTTTTTGCGGGTCGTCTGAAAAATACGATTCTTCTCTCCCCTCAACCCCCCCTTTTTTTTCCCCTGAAGACAGGGGGCCCAGGAACCAGTGGCGGTCGCCCAACGACAGGTTTTTGTTCCCCCTCCTCTACGACCAGCAAATGAGAAAAAAACAGCCCAGGATATGGCTGCTCACCCCCGCATCGACGAGATTTTACAAAAAAAACGCCCTCGAATCGACGACCTGCATTCAGATCTTCTTTTTTCCTGGATCCCAATGGACAGTCTCCCTCTCCCTCTCCTTCCCGCTCCTTACCAGTACCGTAAGTACCTGGGGAGCTACACAACAAAACAAACCCACCTCTACTCCGGCTGATGATTTCTTTTCTTCTTCCTTTTTTTCTGACGAGATGCATGAAACATTGGGTCATTGTACTGGGCTGCTATCTTCTTCTTTTTCTATTTATTTATTTGTCTTGCTGTTTTGAGCACTTTCAAGGCGTTTATACCCCATTTTTGCGATGTTATTCTTCTTTTTTTTCCAGCCAACCATCTTGAGCATTGACTTCATTCGGTCCTCCCTCTCCCGCCGCCACCACCTCCTCCTCCTCCTCCCTGTTCATGGCGAATATACACAAAACAACGCCATGCAGGAAAACATATCCGGCATCTCTTGCCGGGCCCCATATGTATTTCTTCTCTGTTGTTGTGGGGGTCGGCTTCCTTGATTTCTGGACTTCACACCGTCTCTTTTTTTTTTTTTTTCTCGATGATCAGACTTTGGCCATTTATTTTATAGAGGCCCCTACGTCTTCAGCAGTCCCACCAACCACCGATTCTACTTGTACCCGGGGGGTTGGGGGAGGTATTTTTTTTTGTATTCTTTTTCTGGGTTTCTATTTTTTTTTTTTTTTTACTTAGCTCCATGAGGCATATTTGTACATTTGCATATTATACATACGTCTATTGTCTAATGAACATACATGATGACTCAAAAAAAAACAAAAGCTCTCATCTTTATTCTCTTATTCTTCTTCTTCTTTCCCATGTGAAGCCCGCAGACCAACATCCACACGCTGGGCTTGATTTCCCGGAAGCACTAGGCAACCTTCTCCCAGATGGCATCCACCGCCCACCCGCCCGCATTGCAGGTCCTTACATTCATACGTGGACAAAAGATCCCTCCCGTCTGCCGCCCACAAAAGAAAAAAGAAAAGAACAGCCTCCCGACCCCCCTCTTCCCAACCCACCCCATATTATTCCGATATTCCATCCCACGATCACGCACAAGGGGAGGTAACCGCGGTAGTTAGTTAGGCAATAATCATGCGTCGAGACGCGCGCGCGGGTCCTGCCTTCTTGGCTGCGCCCGCGCTCTCTCTCACTCTCTCTCTCTCTCTCTCTCTCCCCTTTTGAGTTGCTGACAAAACAAGTAAGTTAAGTTAGTGACGGTGATCCATGCGACGATCCGTGACGCGTTGTAAAAAAATAAAATAAGTGGGTGAGCGCACTGGGTTTTTGTTGTGGAGTCGGGGAGGGGGCGGCACGACGGCGGGCGATGTTGGGGATGGGAGTATACGGAGTACGGAGTATGTAAGAATTGGAGAAAAGAAGAAAAGTAGGCTTTGCGGTGGTATCCTTTGGAGTCTCTCGCCATGGAGTAGGCAGCTATGCATGTAACTATGTGGTTAATCCTGCAGCGTTGTCGCAGGCGTTGCTCCCTCCCTCCCTCCCTCCGCCCACCGTCCATCCCATCGAACTTAACTACTACGTAACGACCACCACCACCATCGCTGCTCTCCTCGGCCAGCCCGACGCCGCCGCCGCCTCCTTCTTCTCCTGCTCCTCCTTCTCCCCCCTTCCAAGCGCGCCCAAGCACAGCCAGCCGCCAGGAACACACACAAACCTGGGGGCGAGGCTGATCCTTTCACGCCACAGCAAACTAATAACTACTACGACAAGTATTAATTATTATACATGCGAAGAGCCAGGTAGGGAACTAAGTTAAGTATACCGAGTATGCAGACCGGGACATCGTCTCGAACTGCAATAATGCCACAAGGGTAGGTCCCAATTACCTTGCTGCTGCGGCGGTTGAGCCGCGCGAGCCTGGCGATCCCGTTATCCTTACTTTTTTTTTTTTTTTCCTTCGAGACTTCTTCTGGAACGAGCGCGCGTATTGCTACTTTTGCTGCTATCATTCTTGAAACAACAAAGACCCCCTTCTTGGAGAGGCTCTGACACGTTCTCGCCCGCGAACTAGAACTGCAGAGAACAATCCTTTGGAATCCTTCTCTGCCATCCCTTTCCTTTCCCTGGAATACGGAGAGAAGCACACACAGAGGAGAAAGAATGGCGGGGCTGTTAGTTGCTCCGACAGGTATCATAATCATACTAATTGCTGCCTAATATGTACCTAATCGAACACGCGTGGCCGCCGCCCCTCTCCCTCTCTCTCTCTGCCTTTCTGCCCTTCCTTTCTCCCCGCCTCCTGCGTGAAGGCGGCGCCGGGACTCAATCCGCACAGACAGACGCTGGTCCTACGCGGACGACACGCCTCTTTTGGCATGTCGCCGTCTGGCACGCCGCGACGGATGAGGTGGCGGCACGCGCACGTTATTGGCGTGGCATTCACCATATTATTAGCATAGGTACTCGTCTTCTCGCGGCGCGCGGATGTTACTTGCCGTTTGCCGCGCCCGTGTTCGCCGAGCGGAGAAAACAGCGACTCGCGGCTCCATCTCGCTGCGCCCGGG